GCTAACCTGTATTTGTCCTTCATCATCATCTCTGCCTCTTTCATGTTGGATCACCTGTCTCCCTCATTCCCATGTTTTTTTCTTTTGTGGTTTATCCCCTTGTTTTGGTGGAGCATAGTCTTCTATAGCTTTCTAAGAAAGGGTGTATGGCAGATAAGAGACTGCATTTGTGAAAATGTCTATTTGTCCTTGTAGTTAGGTGATAGTTTGGCTTTGTATGGTGTTCTAAGCTGAATCTTTTTTTTTTTTTAAACTTAAAAGATGTCTTCTTACGGTGATGCTGTTTATAAGTGAGATGCCATTCTGATTTTCTGTCCTTTATACGTGAACTGTTTTTTCCCTCCAAGATTTTTCCTGCTTAGCATTGTGCTGAACTTACGTTATGATATGCTGTGGCATGGGTTTTGTGTTGGGCACTTGGCAGAGTCTGTTTTCTCTGTTCTCTCTTGGAGATCCTTTGCAGGTAACTATTGGGCCATCTGGACTACTCTTTTAGTTTTCTTATCCTTTCTCCCCTCAATTTCTATCTGAATTTTTATTGTACTTTTTGGGCAGTTTTTCTCAACGTATCTTTGCTATGACTCATTTGATATTCAGAAGCTTTGGGGCATCTTTCAAATGTTCCTTTTAAATTTTACTGTAACTTCTTTTTGTTGTTATTTCATGTTTGCAATAACTTATATTTCTGAGGAAGTTTATTGTGGCTGGTCAGTTTGATTTATTTTTATGTCTTCTCCCTTTTTCCTATTTCTGTTTTGTTGTCTGCTTTTGATGTTATAGGTTTTCTAATATATGTAAAATACTTAAAAGAGTGCCTAGCACACAGGATACACTCAGTGAAGGGCAGATATTATTTTCTGGTGAATGGACCAGGAGAAAGGGGAAATGGTGGCAGAGTAACAAATCTTTGTAAGTAGTCTAAGCAAGAGATAGGAAAAGGCCTGAACTTTGGGTGATGGAGAACATACAGAAGATTAGAGAGCCATTCCTACAGTTTCTACATGAAAAGTAAAGTGGATTTATAGAATGACTTAGGGATTTCTGGCTTCAGAAATCAATTGTTTTCCATAGGTGAAATTAGGAAGACAGGAGAAAGAGCACTATTGGAGGAACGATATTGAATACCTACCTTTTTGGACTTAAGAAGTGTGAAGTGGCATCAGCCTATCACTAAAACCTCTTTACAGTATGTCTTCTACCAAAATGCCAGGTTCTTTTCTCTCATCTTTTTTTTCCAAGCATAATCTTAGAGTATTCAAAAATGTCACCATTTCACTTCTTTTTCAAGAAATCACAATTAAACTTGCCTAAATTATCTGAAACATCTTTCTTCTGGGCTCTTTTAAGATGTAATCTATTCATGAGTTAATGTGTATGTGTGTATAACTTTAAGAGCAGATGAAGGGCTCAGTATTTAAGAAAAATGAGAAAAAAAATGCCGGACTAGTAAAGTTGGTTACTTTAGCAAACTGATCACTAGGAATCATTAACTTTTTAACCATCCTTGTTTTGTTTAAGATAATTTTGTATTATTTTTGTAAATACATAGAGCTATTTTTCTTAAAGATAAGTAATCAAGTTATTTTGGCCAACCCTGGTTTTCACCAGCTATTTTGAACAATAGTCTAAGAAACAAACAAAATCCTCTTTAATCCTTGTAGTTATGTAAAATGGGAAATTTTTTCTTTCGAGGTCTGAATTCTGATTTTCTTTACAGGTTTTACAGCTCTTTAGAACATTGCACAGGACCAGACAACAAGTTTTTAAAAATGATGCCAGAGCACTAGAAGGTAAGTTTATTTTTTGCTCCTTTCGAGCAAGTCTATTCTTCACATGGGTGCTTATATATCCAAGAGACCCTGTGTGGTCAATACCTTTCTTAGGGAATGACCTTCACTATCTAGCCCTAGTGTTTTGTTTTATAAGGATTGGTTTACATTACACTTCTTTGAGATGTATCTACTTAAAGAAAAAATTTTAAAAGATCAAGTTTTCACAAAGAATCATGGAAAATAGGATCAGAATTTCAGTGTGCTCTGTTGCTTGCTTTATGTTCAAGCCATGAAACTCATTTTTCAATTATAAAATCAAACTTTACACTCTTTAGGCCCAGAGTCTATCTTATCTAGAACTCGGAGCTCTAAAGCTTAGGTTCTGTGTTGGTCAGATTCAGTTCTAATCCTCACACATTTCTAAACCTCTTTATAAGGGCAAATAGGTAAAGTGTCCCTGTTGTCCCTAGGAACTCAAGTTTTTTCATAATTCACCAAAAATAATTTCTTGAATATTAAAGTATTTGCCTCATATTGTATGTACTTTACACAAATTCCTCATTTAGTTCTTGTAACAGCCCTGTGAAGTAGTTACTATTATAATTTCTATTTTTTTCAGATGAGAAAACTGACAAAATGTGAAGAGACTTGTGTCATATCATATTTAGTAAGAGGTAGAAACAGGAATTTAGCCTAAGCAGTCTGGCCCCAAAGCCCAAACTCTTAACCACCTTACATACTGAAATGTATTGAGCCCAGAAGAAAGGTTTTATGGCTATTCTCCATCAACATAGCATATTTTTGTTGCTTTAAATGTTTTTAAGTGAAATAATTATTAGAATAGCTAACATTGCATATTTACTAAGCACTTTACATGAATTCTTTCACTAAATGTTCATAGCAACACAATGAGGCTGACAAACTGTCAGTTGTCTTAAATTATGCTGCTATAATAATGCCAAAGTCTCAGTGGTACATATGAATAAAAGTTTTATTTTTCACTTTCTTTGCTTGTCAGCAAAGGCACTCAAAATTATTTATATATCCTCTTTGCCGCTATATCTTCATTTTAAGTGTGTGTATGTATGTGTGTAGTTTAACATACTTGTATGTATTGAGTTTTGCTGTCTAAGAAAAAAAGCATTTTAATTTAAATCCTTAGATTTGCAGAAATAAAGTATTAAATTGAATTTAGTCTCATAGCTAGAGGTTTCACAAAGGAAACTGGAAATAAAAAGCAGGAAACAAAAGTATGAACGAGTGTTAAAAGTGTATGTTAGGTTTAATTACAAATTTACCAGCCTGTCAAAAACTCTCCAAGAGACTTCATGTATAAATTTCTTATTTTTATACTTTGTATTACATGGGGCACAACTACTTTCTCTACTAGAAAATGGTAGATGTATGTATGTATAGCATGTAGTATCATAGTATGATGAACAACATGTAAATTATTGAGGCAGGAATTATAAATTTGTAAAGCAAATAACTATTTATATATATTTGCTTTCTCTAGCAGCCAGAATAAAGATAAATGAAGAATTCAAATGTAATAAAAGTGAAACTTCTCCTAAGAAAATAGAAGAGGTACAGTACTTAAATTTTTCAATTATGATAAAATGCATACATTTTCTTAGCAACTAGAGGAAATGATTAAAAAGAGAAGTTTTATGAAAAATCTTTTTATAAAATCTTTTATGAAATAAAACCTGTTTGGTATGGCTTACCTCTCTGGATCATCTGCCGGTACCTGTAAGACAGCAAGTTGCCTGGTGAAAAGAGCATGAGTATAGCCTTGATCAAAGCAAGAACAGCTGAACCAACCCAGAAACCACAGAGACGCTGTCTTCATCTAAGGCAAGCGACCGAAACTAAGGAGAGTGGGTGTCGTGATAACTCCCTCAGTTCTGCTCATTTGCTTAAGTGGACAGATTTTGGTTTTTTTAATTCCTATCCTGACTGTGTAAGTTAGCCAGCCAGAGTTTATAAACTATTCTTGCTTTGCCTTCTTTATTTTTGTTTTAGTCTCTTGCCATGATTGAAGGCAGTCTACTACACTAGTCTGTGAGTTCCCTGGTATTCCCAATACATGTTTATTGAAAAAGTGCACAATGATTCTTTCCCTACATAAAATCATATGCTTGTATACATTGCCTCTGTCTTAGGAAGGAACACTGCTTCCTAAGTGTTCCTGTGTCTAACTTTGTGCTGTCTTTGTATATATTTAGGGAAAGGGCCTTTAGGAAGAAAGTGAAAAAGAAAAATAATTTGCAAGGGTAATTATTATTCAAAGAATTGGTTTGGCAAAGAGGAAGTTACAAATTAGAGAAATCCTTCCATATTTAGTGGAATCTCCACACATTGAAAAAAATTTTTTATACAAGTACGTTTATACTTAGTAGAGAAAAATGCTATTTTTGAAATAGTAAATATCTGTAATAATCAAACTAATGAGACAAAATGAGATAGCCTAAGTATTTCTATCTCTCAAATTTTAAAAAAAGGGAAAGATTTCTCTTAAGCATATGGTAGGGCCAACAGGGACTATGTAATTTTTATTCATGGCAGAAGTTAAGAAGACATTATAGTCAAGTCATGACTTGAAGAGAAGTTGAACGGTATACACCAAAGTTGTACTGCTTTGCTCTTCAGTAGACTGAGTAATAAACAGTATGGTACAGGCATACCTCATTTTATTGTGCTTTGCTTTATTGCACTTCAGAGATACTGTGTTTTTTTCCAAATTGAAGGCTTATGGCAAACCTGCATTGCCAGATGATGGTTAGCATTCTTTAACAATAAAGTGTTTTTATTAAGGGATGTGCTTTTTTTAAACATAATGCTATTGCACACTTAATAGACTACTGTATATTGTAAACATTACTTCTATATGCACTTGGAAACCAGAAAATTTATGTGACTCACTTTATTGTGATATTTGCTTTATTGTGGTGGTTTGGAACCAAACCCACAATATTTCTGAGGTATACCTGTGACTGTTTTTAAAATTTGAAGTCATGATTTTAAATTTTAATTGAGATCTGTTTTTATTGACCAATTGGGAAAATGAACTACAATCTCCCAAATGCATTTCACTTGTAGAGCACTAACATTAAGCAATCTAGAAATTAGATATTCGTTATATATAAATATATATTTTGTACTTTTGGTAACTCTGCATATATTAAATATTTAGTAGTTTTTAGATAATTACATTGTCGTGTGTTAGAGGCTTCATGAAATCTTGGCGCCAAAAGGAATCTTAGGCAGCCTCTCAACTAGCAGCTCTCAGACTTTTTGGTCTCGTGACCACTTTATCTTCTGAAAAATTGACAATTCTAGAAAGTGCTATTTATGTGTTATACCTATCAATATTTACCATATTAGAATTTAAAACTGAGAAATTTTAAAAATATATATTGGTTAAATAATTTTAAAATAATAAGCTCATTACATGTTAACAAATAGAATGTTTATGAAAAATAACTACTTCAGAAAAATTTGGTGAGAAGAATGGCATTGTTTTATGTTTTTGCAAGTTTCTTTAATGTTAGCTTAATAGAAGTCAGTAAGTTCTCAGACCTCTTCCTCATTCAATCTGGTACAACATGATTTTTAGATTGAATTATATGAAGAAAATTCAGCCTCATACATATATGTAGTTGGAAGAGGGTAGGAATATATATTAGCCTTTTCAAAAAATTATGAATATTCTTTGATACTATACTTCAGCAAGTGGTAAATTTCCTTGAAGTTTAGTTGCAGAATGGAGCTTGTTATCTTTTAGTCCACAGGATATATATAAATATATTCCTTAGTGGGGAGGGTCCAGGATTCATACATACCACATCCTTCTCATTCCCTCAGATCTCCCCTGATCTCTTGTTTCTCGTCTAGCCTTGTTGTCAGCCTTAGACTTAGAACTCAACTCAGTTTATGCACCTCCAGTGGATGAAGAGACCAGTTTTTTTTTTCTTTCTCTAAACCCCTTCTCAAGCCTGTCAGGAGGTAAGGCTTTGCTCTGCTACAGCCTTCTCCATGTCAGTTAATGGCAGCTCCCTCCTTTTGATGCTCAGACCAAAAACATAGATAATCTCTTTCTTTACTGCTTTCCTTCTCTCATACTTACATCCAATCTGCCAGCAAATCCTGTTGGTTTAACCTTCAAAATGTACTCAGAATTTGACCACTTCTCATCTTCCCCATCATTATTGCCTGGTTCAAGCCATCATTATCTCTCACTGGGTTGTTAGAGAGGCCTGCTACAGCCTATTCTCAATACTTTTAAAGGCCTGTCCTATCATTCTTCTAATCACAACCCGCATGGCTCCCCACCTTATTCAAGTAAAATCTGAAGTCCCACCTACCATGACTAATAATACTATATCGTCTGACCCTTGTTAACTTCCCGCCTCAACTCACCACACTTCTCATTCTTACAATCTCAGTTCCTTCTTTGAGGATGTTTGAATTTACCAAGAACTTCCCTGTCTCAGGGCACTTAAGCTGATGCTTCTTCCTAGGATATTTTTTTCCCACATGCCCTCATGTCTGCATGTAGTAGAGCAATAGATTTTAATCTGTCTTTCCCTTTGGATCTTTTACTCATGTATGATTTTGTAACATCATGCACTGATGATTTGAGAAATATAGGTTCACCAAAGGATCTTCCAAAAGTTGACATAGTTCAATATGTAATATTTTAAAATTATATCTGTTAATATTTATCTTATCAGAAAAAATCTTAAGTATTGAGAGGCTGTTGAGCTTGTTGTGGAAGGTACAGGTTTTCCAGAATTCTGATTTTTTTCTTGAAAGCTTGAATTTTATCATTGTTAAGAAATAATGTCAGTTGTTTTCTTGAAGTGACATACTCATTTCACCCATTTTCACAAAAATGTCTGCCAAATACCCAAGTCTGAATAATCGGACCTTGTATCAGTGGTTCATTCAAGTAAAAATGATACTCAAAAGTGAAAGCTCTACTTCTGTTCACAACTCAAACAATGCAGATGGCTCTAGTATTGTGAAAGTTGTTTTGCCTTCATGGGTCCCTGAAGGGATCTCAACGTCCCTCAGGGATCCATAGCTCTGAGAATCACTGTTTTAGTCCAGTTCTTTGTTTTGCAGTGATGAGGTCTGAAACTCAGAGAGTAGATTAAAAACCCAAGGCCATACACTTAATGATAGAGCCAGGGATGGAATTCAGGTATTCTTATTCCTAATCCAATATTATTTCTAGTGTTCAGAACATCCAGCTCTGTAGTAAAAGAGAGGTAAACCCCTCCCAAAATAAACTATGCATTTTAAACACATGGTAAAGTATATATTACAACAAAAATACTCTAAATCTGTTTTGGAAAAAAAAAGTATAGTGGATAGATATAGGGTAGAATTATACACATGTCTGAGTTTTCTGTATGGATTGGAATGGTTACAACAAGTTAAGGGCAAGTATTGCCTAAAAAGAAATTGTAATAAACCTATAGTTTTCAAAAATAGCACATTCATGTAAACCATTGAAAAAATACCTGTAGGATTTATTCTTGTTTTTTTGTTTGTTTTTGTAACAGCTGATAAAAATAGGTTCTGATGTTGAATTGATACTGAGAACATCTGTTATACAAGGTATTCATACAGACCACAATACGCTGAGTAAGTAAAATTAAAGAAGTGTTTTCCCACTGCAGTGTGTTTTAAAATGGAGCAAGTGCAGTGCATGTTATGCTGATTAGTAAAGCAGCTTGATTTTGCCAGACATTGTGGTATATATTGTACACATTTGTGAGGCTATATTTTAAAATGCTGAAGTGTGCAACTGTTTAACTAGATTTTTTTTCTTTTTCTTTTATTAATTTATTTTTTTCTTTTTAATCTTAACCACTGGTTATATTGCAAAACTACAGTTACAGAGACAGAACAGGCACACCTCATTTGATTGCACTTCGCAGGTAATGCATTTTTACAAACTGAAGGTTTGTGGCAACCCTGTGTTGAGCTAATCTATATGCACCATTGTTTTCCAACAGCTTTTGCTTATTTTGGGTCTTGGTGTAGCATCTTGGTAATTTTTGCAATATTCAAACTTCCTCATTTTGTGTCTCAGTGTAGCCTTTTGGTAGTTCTTGCCATATTTCAAACTCTTCAAAATATCTCAGAGGTTTGCCTTTATGACTGTTTCTGTAATATTTATCTGGCATTCTTAATTTTCCTAGTATGATTTACCACCTGCCTAGACTAAGTCTGTTTCTTTATCTTTTATTCTATTAGAGTTATTTTAACTTAGAAGAATTGGGACTATACGAAATGGAAGTATAGTTGAGGATCTTCCATTATACTTCCAGACTTCTGCTGGGGTTTCACCAGAATCTCATTTCACATAATATTTGGTTTTCATTCCCTAAAGTATTTGAGGGGATGACAACAACAACAACAACGATAGAAACAACATACAAACAGAAAAGTTCACAATTTGTAACAGTATAGCCCAGTGAATTTTTGCAAAGTGAAGTATCTGTGCAACCAGCATCCACTCAAGTTATATTATGTAACCAGTATCCCAAAAGCCCCCTCCTCATGCTCCTCGCAGTCAGCCCCTCCCCACAAGTATAACCACTGTTCTGACTTTTAACACTATCAATATTTAACCTAGTATAATAAAAGTGTTTGAACTTTATATACATGGAATCATATAGGATTACTATTTTGTCTCCCTTCTTTCTCTCAACATTGTATTTGTGAGATTCATCTTTATTATTGTGTATAGCAACATTTCCATGAATGTTGTTGGACTATACTACAATTTATCCATTCTGCTATTGTTCCTTTGGTTTTTTTCCTAATTTGGGGTTATAATGAATAATGATTCTACGACCATTCTTGTAAGTGTCTTTTGGCATAATACACACACAGACACACACACATACATGTACAAATACATACACATATATAATGCATTTTCTTCAGTGCATGTGTATTTAGCAGTGAAATTTCTGGATCATATGGTATGTGTTTATTCAGCTTTGATAGATACTGCTAACCAGTTTTCCAAAGTAGTTAGACTAATTTAGACTTCCAGCAGCAGTATCTGAGAACCCCAGTTGCTTTATATCCTCACCAGCTCTTGATATTGTGCATCTCTTTATTTTAGCCTTTCTGGTGGTTATGTTGTGGTATCACATTGTGATTTTAATTTGCATTCCTCTGGTAATTAATTAATTACTAGCACCTTTTCAGTTGTTTTAAAATGGCCATTTGGATATTCTCTTTTATGAAATAGCTGTTCAAGCCTTTTGCCCATTTTTCTAAGAAGTTATCTGCCTCTTTATTATTGATTTGAAGGAATTCTTTATATGTCTTGAATATAAAGCCTTTGTTGGATATATGTATTAGAAGAATCTTTTATTTTTTGGCTTGCTTTTTCACTTCGCTAATTTTATGTTTTGATGAGAAGTTTTTAACTCTAATGTAGTCCAGCTTATCCCTTTTTTTCTTTACGGTTAATACTTTTGATTCTTGTTTAAGAAATCTTTGCAAATCACAAGCAAGGTCATGAATAGATTCTCCTGTGCTTTCTTCCCAAAGCTTTGTTGTTTGATCTTCTCCATTTGGTTGTTTCTATCAACTAGAATTGATTTTTGTATGTGATACGAGGTGGGAGTCAAGATTTATTTTTTCACATCTGAATATTCAGTTGATCCAGCATCATTTTTTGAAAAGACCACTCTTTCCCTACTGTAGCATAGGGTCACCTTTGTCATAAAAATAAATAATTGTATATGTGTACACCTATTTCTGTGTTATAATGGCAGTAAAGATAGCTAATCCTAAATTGAAAATTTGTACTCATTAGCTTTAATCTTAATAATAATAATAATCTTTAGAGCTTCTGTGTAGTGTAGCCAAAATTTTATGTGAGTAATTATAGTTAAATATTATTTTTATTACATGAATAAAAATTTAGGTTATTTTATGTAACTGAATTTGATAACTGTATTTCAAATGCCTGGTTTTAAGTATGATAATTTTCCAACAGGATTGAAAATTTTGACTCTTACATGATTATTAGTATATAATACTATATTACCTTAAATATGGCCTCATTCTTTCTATTAAGATATATATGTATATATATGTATGTGGATATATGTGTGTGTGTGTGTGCATGTGTATATATATATATATATATATATAGATCTCTTTCCTACTTTATGCCTGTGGGCTCAAGATAGAACAGATTTGATTCTTTAATCGCTATATTGGGGGGGGATAAATTTTTTTTAATTGGGAAACAAATGCACAACTTGGAATGTATGGTCCTTTTAATGTATTGTTGAGGGTTTTTGCACCTTTGTTCATCAAGGATATTGGCCTGTAATTCTCTTTTCAGTGTGCTTGTCTGATTTTAGTATCAGGGTAATGCTGGCCTCATAAAATGAGTTTGGACCTGTGTATTCCTTTTTTTTTATTACTATTTTTTTTTAAAATCTTGACCTGAAATTTGATTTGGGATCATAATTTACTTAAAGCATTTTTATTTTAAGGGAATTACTTTTTAAATGACACATTTAATATGATCATAATAGAGAAAATCTTTCAGGAACCTGAAGTATAGGAAATAAACCATGTTCTTAGTGTAGTTCCTTACTGAGATCTGACAACTTCCTAAATTAATGTTGTTACAGTACTTTGATATCTAATTTAGAGAGCAAAGTTAGGAATTTTTTAGTCAATAAAACAAAATTACAGTGAAAAATAGTATACTACATATAAATATACCTGTGATATGTTCAGCCTAAGTGAATTCAGAAAAACTCAACTATAGAGTGCCTTTTCATTCCCAAGCTTACCTAATAAGGTAAATTGTGTAAAGAGATAGAGAATGAGTATTTGATGGATTTTCTGAACCAATTTTTGAATATCTTTGTTTTGTTTCAGGAATTTTCATCTCTATGAGTTCTAAATCCCCAAGATAGAATCTAGAATATTCACTTCCTCAGTTTCCCTTGCTGCTCAGGCACAGATGTTTAACATAGATGCAGCATATTACCTGTATTCAGAAATGATCTTGAGAAAAGACTCTTGGCACAGAATCTATTTTGCTGGCAAGAGTTAAGATCATTGGTTGCACAGTCAAGTTATTGATCCAGAAGTGTCACTGGTGTGGTAGCAGGAACAGATGTAGTAAAGCTGATTTTCTGGCAACATGTCAAGTGTAGCATCTTGTGCTCCTTGAGGGTAGAAATGGTGGTAGTTTTTTCTTGTGCTCCGTAAGCAGCAGCAGTTTTCGTCATCAGGCCAGTTCTGTGGTAAGCCTTTGGACATTGTTCATGGAAGCTTAGCCTCAAGCCTGCCTGATTCTTAAGCCCTCACAATAATTCTGTGAGTTAGACCAGCAAACTGTTAATAAATGCCTTTTATTCCTAGTTAGCCAGAGTAGGCATCTGTTACTTATAACTAAGAACAAAAGAAGTTGTCACCAGAGCTGAGATACTGAAAATTACACAACCTAAAATGCCAAGTTAGTCGACTGGAAGGCAGGGATAGAGGGAAGTAGTATTGACATGGACCTGAGCATTACAGGCTCTAAGCTGGTGGTCCTTGTTATGCAGTGGTGAATGTCAGATCAGCCCCTCCTCCTGCCTTCTGGGAGTACAGTTACAGCAGTAAGGGAAATAACCAGACTGTCAGTGTGTACTGGTTATTTCCTCCTGCTTTCAGCAAAATATTGAAAAAGAAGATTAATGCAGATTAAGCTAGTCAGTCTGCAAAGCAAAGATGGAAAGAAGTACTACTTTGCTAAGGGACACTTCTTGCTACATCCTAAAGTCTCATTGATTGAGAGTCCTATAATTTAGAGCCTTGCAGGCTTAAAAGTGCCAGTTGCTCTTATCCACTAAAACTGAAGGCAATACATGCAGGAAGCCTCTGAGCTCTAATATGAAATAAAATCAGTACCCTAAGCCTTTCTCATTTGCCAGACAAAGGTCAACTATAAGGACGCGTTTACTCACTGGGGTTGATAGTTTTTCACTGCATTAAAAAATGTCCACTAAGCTAAGGGTCAGGGAGATGGGACAGCATAGAATCCATTACCAAAGGATGAAAATCTTCATGCTTAATAACTGTGTCAAGTTGTTTGCCTGTAGCTACTTGTACATGGAAATGACTGGGAAAAAATAGACCTAGAGCCTGTAAAGTTTTTGAATAAATGATATTGCTGAGAAACCCCAAACCTGGCTAGCTCTCCTCAACTCTTAAGACTCTCCCTGGTTTCCTGAACTCATATCAACAAGAAGTGGACTATGAAAGCTTCAGAGCCTCAAAGAGGGGCATTTTCACTAATATCCCCCTGTCTGGATCCCCCAGAGAACAGACCTGGAGCCTTGGAGGACAGTGGATGAGAGAGTCTTTGGGTGTCCCAGAAAACCGGATTAAGTACTGCCAGATTGGCTGATTATTGCTTTGCCAAAAGCAAAGAGTTCTTGCTCTTCCTGTACAGGATTTAGGATTTGCTGTGGAGCATTGACCACCATGTGTTTTCCATTCCAGGTTTTTATTGCTGTATCCTGTTTACCCTTTACTATGGTCCAGTAGATACCTACCATGTGAGCCACAGCTGGACCTAATGGAAAGGCTAGCATATCAGCCAGAGAGCCTTGATTTGAATCTGGATCAGACCTTAGAGGTCAGGGAGTAAATGGATGTAGTATTTTATGGAAAGAAGGGTGTATATTTCATGTTCTCTGGCCAGAAGTGTGGACTGCTTGTTGCCTCTCCAATATTCATTCTTTCCTACTAACTAAAAAATTGTTTTCAGGATGCAGTGTGACAGGCAGGAAAAAAAAAGTGAGTTCCCAGACCATGTGACTCTTTTCTGGCCAGTGTAAGCAAGTGTCTACTGGATGTTGCTTCCAATAAACCTATTGTTTTCCTGTTCAAAAGGCATAGGCCAAACTCGCACTCTCCTTTTTGCCCTTTTCCCCCTTCCTGCTTAGAGTGCAGATATGATGGGACAGCAGCAATGAAGATGGAAACCAAACATGAGGTGTAGCAGAACAGGAATTTAAAAAGAGCCTGAGTCCATACTGTTACTAAGGACCTGTAGCAGCCTAGGATTGCCTTCATCTGTGTTTCTTGATATGTGAGAAAATTAAATCTCTTACTTATTTAAACCACTATTTGTTGGACTTCCGGTTTATCTGTCTCTTCCACTAGACTGTGAACTCTGTGAAACTGAGGAGACTTTTTTTTTTGAGGTATAGTTGATGTATAACATTGTATTGGTTTCAGGCATACAACATAATGATTGTATATTTATATATATTCCGAAATGATCAAATGATCTCCAAAATAAGTCTTGTTATTCTGTCCCTATATGTAGTTACAAGTTTTTTTTTCTTGTAAAGAGAGTTTTTAGGAGTCTCTTAGGGACTTTAAAATATGGAATACAGTATTATTAACTATAGTCACCATGCTGTACTGAAGAGACATACGTCTCTGTATCTTCATTTCTTTTTTCCTTTTTTTTTGCTATAGAAGCACACATTTTGCTTGAGGTAATTAGGTTTGTTTATTTCTAAATGGAGAAGGTACTGGGGATTGAACCAGGGACCTCATGTGGGCTAAGCATGTGCTCTACCATTTGAGCTATACCCTCCCCCTATATGTTCATTTCTTGATGTAATGTCCAGCAAAATATAAGCACATGTATGTTTGATAAGTGAAACAATTTACTGTCATTGTTAATAAGTTAAAACCTAAAGTATAATTTGCTTTCTGATGAAAGCTCCATAGATTTGGTAGAAGCAGTGAGATATAAAAAAACGGTTAAATAATACTTATTTAACTGGTTTTCATTTCAGTAAGCCAGATTTACCATGTGGCTCATAAGAGCATTATTTCTAGTCAGATTACTTATTTGTTGTGTGTGTGTGTGTGTGTGTGTGAGAGAGAGAGAATTTCAGTTTTCCTTTTGAATTGAATTCATTTTAGAAATAATCTTTTAAAAAAATTTTAATGATTCAAATTTACAGAAAAGGTTTAAGAAAAGTTAAAGAATATGTGTATTTCCTTTACCCAGGTTCCACAAATGCTAACATTTTACTACATTTGCTTTATCATCTTTCCTTTCCTTTTTTTCCCTGAACTTTTTGAACATAAATTGCAGACATAACGCCTCCCCCTATGTCCCCAAATCAGCATTTTTCAAATCAACAGCCCTCTTGGTTTTAGATCTGAAGAAATACTTTAGGGTATATTTTTTAAAGATATGTCATTGTATTTCCTAAATTTACAAGGACATTCTCTTATATAACCACAGTATAATTATTAAAATCAGGATATTAACATTGATTCAATTCTGTTATTCAGATTTTTCTACTTGTCCTAATGGTGTCCTTTATAGATTGGATCCTCTGGTCTAGGATCCAGTTGAGGATCCTACAAATGGCATTTACTCACCATGTTTTTTTAGTCTTCCTAATCTGAAGCAGTTCCTCAGTCTTTGTCTTTCATGACTATGTTGTTTTTGAAGAATATAGACAATTTATTTTGTAGAATTTGATGTGAGCATTTTTTGATCATGACAGTTCACTTGGAATTAGCTCTTCTGGAGAAAAAAGGAGAAATCATTTATCTCCTCAAAATTTTGTATCTTAAGAGCTTTACCTCATTTGACTCCAGCATTATGTCTTACGTAGGACTCAACATTTGTTGTTGTTGTTGAACACTGTTTCTCAGTGGGGTTCTGTTGTCATTTTAAACGGGATAGTTCTTTGCTGCACCAGACTATCCCACACATCCCTGGCTCGTGCCCACTAAATTCCAGCAGCATTCTTCAATTGGTGTGACCACCCAGAACACCTCTAGGTGACAGCCACTGTTCTGTAAAATTTGGAATCTTTAAATTGGGACAGTGGCTTACTTTTTATGTAGTAGGTAGTATAAGCAAATTTTCCAGTTGATAGTTTTAATTATCATTAATCTGTAATCTGATACTGACCATGTGCTTTAGCTGAATTCTGTTCAGTTTTTTAATTAGTTATATTTAATAAATAAATGATAAAAGGTTAAGATGGTCACATATATTTTTATGTGTCTGAAATGAGAATCCTATTAACTATCTCCATTTAAAATCAAGAATTCCACCTTAGAGTTAACTGAAATAAAATATCACTTGGAAGATTTACTTTAAAAGTCGATATTTTATTGTTATAAATTTTAGGGGAAATAAGTCTATTTGCATTTAATTTAAATTTTAATGATGTTAAATATTCTTTTTGTTTTTCTTTCAGAATTGGTCCCTAGGAAAGACCTTCTTATAGAAAATGTGCCGTATTGTGATACACCAACTCAGAAGCAATGAATTTTTCTAGAATAAAATCAAGTCTTTGTTATTTTTAATTTTAAAATATATAACTCTGGCAAACGTCCTGGAAATGTAGGTAATTTTTCTCTGAACTGGCATATTGAAAATGAATGAATGAAAGTATAGTTTCATAATTAATTTTCACATTTTGGAAAGGACATTGCTAAAAACTGCAAAACACAGTTAAGTATTTCTAAAGAATAATACAGAAGAAGACATTTCATTTTCACTGAAAATCAAACTGTATAAAGTAAAATAAATGCTTAGGGAGGTATATCATATTCACTTCTCCTTGACCTTGCTGAGTGTTTTGGTCTTATCATAGCTATTTGAGAACGCAGTGTTTTTGACAGGTTGATGAATTTTTCTTCCCATATGAAATGAAACTATTAGATTAATAATATTAGATTAAACTAATATTTAGTCCCCAAAACATTAATTGGCCCCAAAATCACAATGTGTGTCAACTTTCCACAGGAGGTGGCCTTTGTTTCAAAGCACTGGAATTATTTTTGTAGTTGACAAATAATTGTAGTTTCCTTTTAGAGATAAAGCATATGTCTCTATTCCTATAAAGAAGTTTTAAAATTAATCTTCTGAAGATGGATGAATAAAATATCAAAATCACCTACGATAACTGTGGAATACAGAAATCCTAATTGTTACGGTAATAGTGGCCCTTGATCAAACTGTATAATAAGACATTAGTAGAGTTAACTGTAGTTAGATCATAGATAGACTTTATTGTGAAAATGTAATATGTGGCTGCATCCTTTTCATTTTAATCAGTAAAACCTAAATGGCTTTTTTTCCTTCCACATGTTTCATCCCTCATGAGATTGGCAGTATCACAAAACAGCTTGGCATTTTACCACCTAATGGTAGGAACTATAACATTGTATTTAATAGTCTTCTCTTTTAAGTCTTTTCTCTTTTGAGTTGTCTGGCTTTTTCTTATTGACCCTTTATATTTATTTATATAGTTTTTTTTAATTGAAGTAAAGTTGATTTACAATGTTATGTTAATTTCTGGTGTACAGCATAATGATTCAGTTATACATATATATATATTCTTTCTCATATTCTTTTTCATTAGAGGTTATTATAAGCTATTGAATATAATTCCCTGTGCTATATAGTAGGATTTTGTTGTTCATCTATTCTGTGATATATATTCTTGATATTAATTCTGTTTGTTATCTGTGATACAATTGTTGTCTAAAATATGTGATTTGTCTTTTTATTCTGTTTATTGATAAACCTGTAGTATGAGACTTTATTTTAGTTGTAATTCATTTTTAAAAATATTTTTAAC